CCTTTGTGCGGCCGCGCCGGCCCCGCCCCGCGCCCTCGGGGCGGTGCAGCTAGGCCTGCGGCGTGTTAGGGAGGTCAGGTTTAGGTTTGGGGAGGCGAGCGCGACGCCACGAAGACGTCTGCCCTTACCCCGTCAAAAGTCCGCAGTGGCTTGGAGGGCTGGGACTCTCGCTTCGACCAATTCGGAGGCAATAATAATAACGACTACCAGTAATTGAGTGCTTAATATGTGTCAAGCCGCCTACGCACACGCACTCTTAGCATTCACAAGAACCCTTCAAGTAGTCATCCTCTCCACTGGGAACTGAGGATCAGAGAGGTTAAGTAATGACCAAAGTGATTCAGCTACACCTCTATAAACGGGAATAATGCTTCCTCTTTAGGCTTACTGCGGGGCGTGGGGGGGTGGGAGGGGCGGTTAGCTGAGGACATTTTTGCCGGCAGTGCATGGCACACTGTTGGAGCCCAATAAATGTAGCTCTTCCTAAACCACACTAGCTTAAACTGAATTGTGGCGAAGCACATTCATTCCGTAGATATACTAGGAGATGTGGGGAATACAAAAGTCCTAGGTGACTCAAAAGTCTCACTCTCACTCCCGCTTATGCTGAGTACACAACGGGAATCTCTCCATGCTTGATTTCTCTGTATTCCGAACATTTTCCTATTTTCTTGCCTTTTTTAGCATTTGGCCTCCTCCCCATCCCTGCTTTTTTTCCTTCAGGCCTCCCTCATCCCTTTTTCTTTGTTTCTACGTTTTACATTTATTTTATAGTCCTTGATTGCTTACTTCACCCCCTTTCTCTTCTCTATTCCCTTTCTTTACCCTCCAATATTTTTCAGATTTTTAAAGCCTTCTTTCATTAATATTCACATTAATATTCTTTCATTAATATTCACACTTCCCCTTTCTGCCTTTGCATTTCTTACACTTATATTTTGTTTTATAAACGAAGGTAACACAGGATCAACTACTCAATTTCTATGTCCACACTATCCTGCTTACCTACCTTTTTACTTCCACTGCTCTCTCCTGGAATGCCTTTTTCCCCAACTCTGCATGGCTAGGTCCTACTTATCTTTTGGGATCTAGACTCAAGAACAGTGGTTGATGAACTTCTGCAAAGGACCAAATAGTAAATATTTTAGACTTTGCAGGCCATATGGTCTCTGTTGCAACTGCTCAGCTCTGCTGGTGTAGCAGCAAAGCAACCACAGACAATACATACATGAATAAGTGTGGCTGTGTTCCAATAAAAGGTATTTATGGGCACTGAAATTTGGATTTCATATAATTTCGTGTATCATGAAATACTATTCTTTTGATTCTTAAACATCTTAAAATGTGAAAACCATTAATAACTTGTGGGCTGTATTAAAACAGGTGATGTAATGAATTTGGCCCTTGGGGTATAGATTGCCAACCCCTGCTCTAGAACAATGCCATTTCCTCTCTGCAATCTATCCTGATAATCTCTACTCGGTAGTAACTTTCCATCTTATATCACCTACCTATAATCCTTCTATGGCATTTATCACATTTTAGTTTTTATTGTACTTTTTCTTTTCTGTGCATTTCTCATCTGTCCCAACAGACCTTAAGCTCCTTGAAGGTAGGGTACAGATCTTATTTCTCTATATATTACCTCCCATCCCACAATGCTTTGCATGGAACAGACATCTAAGACACCTACAGAATGGATATACTGTTAAATCTTCAGTGGTTGACGACTGTTCCTACTGTGCAAAGCTTACTTCTCTCATGAAATAGTACCTCAGGAGCAGAATGCTTGATATGTGTATATCATCTTGAATAGATTTCAGAAAGAGATTTTTGAGAGCTTTATAGACAAGATGGAGAAAGGTAAGCTAATGTTATTTCATTTAGGGGTTGTTGGATAACAAATACTTGAACAAAGAATCACCAACCTGTAGACAGGGCATGTGTCCTCAGCCGAGTCACACTCAATATTTCTATCAGCAAATTGGTTAAAGACAAAGAAAACATGCTATATAATACACAAATGGCAAAGTTAAGCAGAGGAGTTAGTATAATGAGTAACAAAATTCAGATATGAAACATTCCTGCCCCGCCACGTAGTCTTTGTGTGCCTCAGTTTTCTTATCTTTAAAATGATTCCTACTTCAGAGGATTACTGTCAGGATTAAATGAGGAAATACATGTAAAGCCTAGCAGAGAGGGCTCGATAAATGTTAACTATTAACCATTACTATTTTCTCATTAAGCTGGAACTATGGGGCTAAATTCACAAGATGTGGGGCTATGAGTACAATGTCCTGATGAAGGAAGGTAAGGGAGTTACACTTGAGTCAGAGTCATGGTGCTGCCCTTTCATAGCTATGTGACCTGGAGCCTCTTCAAGCTTTTTGTTTCCTCCTCTGAATAATGGGGACAATAATAATTTCCTCTCAGGGTTATTATCATAAGTGAGTAAGGGAAAACTTAGAACAGTATTTGGCACATAGTAGGTATTCAACAAATTTTTCTTCCTCCCTACCATACCATGCAGACCTTGGAAACAGTCCTGTCCCTTGAAGGGCTTATAATGAATGGAAGACAACTCAGGGAAGACAACTCCTTTTTCTTGATCCTGTCTTCCATTCATTATAGAATTATATTAATTCCAAATATAAAAAGCCACTATTCACCATCGGTGGGCACCAGCTAGGTCCAGGTGCCCACCGATGGTGAATAGTGGCTTTTTATATTTGGAATTAATGTGCTTAATTTGGCAGATCACGCTTTAAGAGAATTAATGAAACAGTGGAATGTGCTTAGATAAGAATGACCAGAATGGTGGAAATGGGAAGTCCTAACATGTGATAGGTAAAAATGAAGAAACTCATAGATATTTAGCCTGGAAATTCGCTTGCTCGCTTGCGCGCGCGTGCATTCTCTCTCTCTCTCTCTCTCTCTCTCTCTCTCTCTCTCTCTCTCTCTCTCTCTCTCTCTCTCTCTCTCAAAGAAACAGACATAACTGTCTACAAACACTGTAGGACATGGACGCTGTTAAAATTCACAAGACAGAATCACAACCAGTGGTAGAAGTTCCAGGAGAGCAAATTTGGGCTTAATGTGAAGTGTGACTGTCTGATAATTAAAGCAATTTCACAATGGAATGGGCTGCTTTTCAAAATGGTGACCCCCTTATCTTGCATGTGTGCCAAGAGAACCGATTACCTCCTTTCTGTCTTTCAATTTTTATAATGTTCTTTCTCCATATTCTTTTGTTTTCCTTTTCCTTGATCCTGTCTTCCATTCATTATAGAACATTTATAACCTCTCCTGCTTCTTTGCCCTAAAGTAATTTCGTCTCATTTCTCCTTTAGTTTCCAAACTCTTTTTATCTTGGCTCTCCCCACACCCACCTGAACACACAGTCCAATGACTGGAACTGCCTCCCTGAGTTGTAGGCGGCCCATGGCTCAGAATGTCACTGAGATCTGGGCCAAGATTGCTGTGCACCTTGGCAGGGAGGGGAAGGAAGGCAAATGGATTGCTGCAAAGGAAGAGGTACTGCTGTGACTCTCCCATCAGGGTAGAGGGATCCAGCAGAGTCTCCTGAAACCCAGGTTGTGGAAAAGTCTACTTGTCACTGGGCACTGACAGACAGACAGATGGGGATCCCAGAGCTGAGTATTGTTCCTTCAGAGATGCTTTCCATGAGCAGAACTCATTCTGAATCCCCTTTTACCTCCCCCTAGGCATTCCCCTTATCTTTGAGCTATGCAGCCACCTTGTCATATTTCCAATTTCAAGAACTCCTTCTCATACCAAATGAAGCAGAGAACTGAGATGACTGGATACCTGCCTGAACTCTCACCTCTGCATACGGGTATGCAGATATGTCTGACAACGATGACATCTAGTCAGAGTCTTTCTCTACCCTTTTACCCTTATACCACCCTGGGTCTCCTTTCTTTATCCTTGATTCGTCTTCTCTACCCCCACCCCTGGTTCCACCTACCCGGCTTCCTTATTGCCTCTTTGGGCTTTCAATAGTTTCCCCTCCGTTCCTAGATGTCCAAGTGAAATGTGCCAGGGGATGGCAAGGAAGGCCAGCTCTCCCCCTCTCCCAAGGGCCCCTCTACACTTCATACCGTGAGCTGGGGACTGCTGGCTGTTAGGGCTCTTGGGTACAATCAGGCCACCAGGCATGGCAGTGATGATGGCTTGCTGATGTGGTGATGGGCAAGATCGAGTCTCAGGCACACTCTTCTCCCCAGATACTACTTCCTTCCAGTCATCTGGGGTGCACTGCTGGGGCTGTGAAGGGACAGGACAGAGATGATCTTCTCATGAATTGCCTTTACATTCTGGACATGTCCCTTGTTTCCGTGGAGCTTGGGTAGAAGGCAAGGACATTAAGATTCTGCCAGCCCCAAATTAGAGAGGCCTCTTTTCTTTCTTGAAATACCCAGAGAGGACTTCACCACTCAGCCCACCTAGAAACACATCCAAACAGGAGCTATGGGATTGCCTAAGTTGTGTACTCTCCCATTTGTCCCCTCAACCTCGGGATTATCTTACTCACCACTGGTGAAGCAGGCTGTAGTTGTAAGATGACGGCCGAGGTGTGCTGGAACCTGCGTGGTGGGGCGTGGGACAGGCCCTCGGGGTATCCATTGTGAGGCCCAGCATTGGGCGTGGGAGGATGACAGTGCTGAGTGCTTCCAGGCTTGTGCAGGTTGTTGGCAGTGGAACATTGGAGAGGCAGTGTGGATGTGACTGGTCCAAGCGGCATGGCATGGGCTTCAGGGCTGGGCTGTAGGGCCAAGCTCGGAGGGACCGAAGTGAGCTGGGGGTGGGGCTGGGCCTGGAGTGTGGGCCGTGATTGCTGGGGCTGCTGCTGCTGCGGGGGTTGCTGTTGCTGCTGTTGGATCACAAACTGGGGCTGCAGGTGCTTTGACGATGGCTGTGAGAGCAGCTGTTGTGGCTGTAGCTGAGCATAGGCTGAAGGGAGAAAGACCAGGTTAGGTGGCATGGCTTGACCTCATCTTCTGCTATGTCTCCCAACTGTGCCCCTTCCCACATCCATGTAAAGAAGGCTTCCCAAACTTAGTGTCTCTTGCTTTCATCTTTCACTTAGAGCCCAGCCTGGTCATTGTCATGGCCCAACTTTTTCTCTCCATTTTCTTGCTTTCTTCTTATGCTGAAACACTGGACCCTTAGTCGTGCCTCAAAGCCCAGTGCAAAACTCACCTCTGTGAAGCCTTCTTTGATGTGTGCCATGTTATCTCTCTCCTCCATGCCCTTCACTCGCTTTTCTTCATGCCTGCAATACGTGCAGCCTCCCATCACCCCACCCAGCTCTTTCTGGCTAGTCCTTATTCACCCTCTGGGCCTGCTCAGGCTGGCCTCCTCCAGGAAGTGCCACTTACACACTGTGATCCTCAGACTCTGGCAGGAGGCAGGCCAAGGCTGGACTACCAGTTCTTTCTGTTACATACTGTGGGATCTGGGGCTATGTACTTAACCTTTCTGGCCTTTGACTTCACTGTCTAAAAATTGGAAGTAAAAAATGTTTCTGCCCAGAAAGTTGTTGTCAGGATGATATAAGAAAATGACATAATGTGCATAAGCACAGTGCCTGACAGTCATGTTCAATCATTTCTCATTATGACTAAAATTATTATTTCAGTCCTGGTTTGGGTTCTCAAAGTATTCTGGGCATACCTTTACCATAATAACACGTATCATAGTGGGCTATGGTTACTTCCTAGCTATCTTCCTTTCTGGATTGTGAACCCCTTGTGGTCAAATGCTATCACATGTCTCCTTATCCAGAATCTCTCATTGTGCCTGACTTTAGATGGGCGCTAAGTACTTAAACTTATTGTCCTCGAGCGGAATTTATTTGTTGCCATTTGCTGCTAGTCTTTTCTTCTTCCATTTTAATCAGACTGACTCTTTGAGGTGAAGATTCTTATACTTTTTAGTAATCCCTTCAGCTTCTAGCTCATGACTTGTATACAGTAGGGATTCAGGAAATTCAGCTCAAGAGATTGATTGTCCTCACGTTACTTACTCTGTCTAGTGGCATCCAGGCCTCCTTAGCATGAGGGTGGCTCAGCTAAATTTGTCCTGCCTAAAAATGGCCCTGCACAGACTCCCACAGCTGGAGAGGCAGCAGAGAGAAACACAGAGAGCTAAGGAAGCTCACAAATGGATTTATACAACCGAAGAGGATGAAGGCAAATTCTGGGTCCTGAGCTAACAGTTTAAAAGGATCCTGTGATGCTTACAGGTGCAAAGTAAGCAGATTTCAAACTGAGTTAGGGGAGGTACCTTCTTTCTTGAATTGTCTGTTTACATGTACGTTTCCAATGATCTCATTAGAGCCCGACACAGACTTCCAAGCAGAACACCAATAGGAATGGAAAGGAAAGGACAGAAACAGGAGGTGTTAAGGATAAACGAAGTGCATGGCGACTGACTGTTGTAGGCAGAGAACGAGGGAATATGGATAGGCCACAGTCTACGGTCTGTATGCCAGTCAATGATGGAAGACAGAGACTCAAATGGTGATGAGGTTTTGAGACAATTGTGTTGGGCTCAAGGTGAAGGTGGAACGTCCAAATAGAAGTTGCCAGCAGGCGTCTAGTGATTATGAATTGCCCTTGACCCCAACTTAAGCCTGGTCTCCTAATTCTACAGTAAATATCTCAAAACTTAATAATCAGGCAAAGATTGTTAATCAGGCAAACTTAACAATCAGGAATTTTTAAGACAACTGTTGATAAGGCACCTGAGAGAGACTGCAGATGCCATGCTGTGCCCTGTTAGGCTCTGACAGCCAAAAAGATCTACAGGATGACTGGCATCCTTTCTGAAACCCCAAGTGAAACTTTTTCTCCCTTATTACAAAATCATGAATTCTTGGCTTGGGAACAGTGTTGCTCTAGGGACTGCCCACCGGAGGCGAGAGATGAAAATGGTGCAAGTTAGAGAAGCTAAGAGGCATGTCCCACTATTCGCTGGCCCTGTGGCCTGAGACACGTCCCTTTCCTTCTGAGGGCTTCAGAGTTTTATCTGTGAAACAAGAGATTTGGGCTAGGTGATCACACAAGTCCCTCCGGCTTTAAAATTTGATGGGGGTGACTATCATAGGAAAACAGTTTAAAATTCAGGATTTACAAGGTGGAAAAAAGAAGGTGAGAGAGGAATACGTTCTAGATCTATAGAGCAGAGAGTATAGTTAGGATCGATACACGTTTGCTTACTGAGTTTGCGAGAGGCATGCTGGCCTTTTGGTCCTCTATCCCTGGGCCTCCCCATCTATCCCACTCTCTCTCAAACTCTGCGCTGCTCACAGAAAACCGAAGGCAATTGTTTTAGAATAAATAATGCTAGTATATGCCAAGGCGAGAAACAAAGCTAATGAAGGCTTAAATAAGTTCATAGGTCAAAGACCCAAGGTATTTTGGTGGAATATATATCTTTAATCTTTTGGGGTCAATAAAAAGCAAATACCATGATTTAACTGCAGTGTTATCCTGGGTCAAAGTCCTTTTATTTAAAATATTGCAATAACCTTCTAATGAGTCTTTCTGATTCATCTTCTTCCCTCTACAATCCACCTTATGGATGATGGCAAATTAATCTTCCTAGTGCACAGATCTGATCCCTGATTAAAAGCCATCAGGGGCTCTCCTTTGTCTGCGGCTGTCTGAAGCCCCTGGCATTCAAGATCTTTTATAACACAAATTATAAAAGATAGCAGACCATTTTTGTTTTATCAGTATCCTGGTTTATTCAAGACCTTCCTCCTGTCCAACCTCAGCTCACTGCCTTCTTGCACTAACACAAACTAACCTTTTAATTTTTATTATTTCTTTGATCCAAGCAATCTTTACTGTTCATTGTCCCCTGTACAAAGTTTATGCCATGTCTCATACTGTCTAAAATGCCACAAATTAAATCTTCATCATCCTTTCCCTGACCTTTCTCTGAGCTGCTCAGAGATCTCTCTGCTTTGCACTGCCCTCAGAGATGCAGTGTTTAGAGCAGTGTGGAGTCTGGGAGCAAAATGCTTGCATTTGAATCCTAGCTCTGCCACTGACCAGCAGTGGGACACTGGGCAAGTTACTTGACCTCTCTGTACCTCTGTGTCATCATCTTTAAAATGGGGTTAATAATGATACTGATCTCAGAGTCATTTCAGTAAACAGCTTATCTCCTTTAATAGGAATAATCGATGTGATTCGTTTGTTTCCTCCAAAGTAGCTTGAATTTAGTAGATGCTCAGTCTATTGCTGAATGAGTGAATGAGCGAATGACAACATGGTGGCACTTCATTTTGCTTGTCCCACAAAACGTGTTCTCTCCAGACCTGGAACACGTATGAGATGGGTGTAGCCCCGCAGACCATTTTTGTTTTATCAGTATCCTGGTTTATTCAAGACCTTCCTCCTGTCCAACCTCAGCTCACTGCCTTCTTGCACTAACCTTCGGCCACCCTAACAGCTCTGCTCATCGTCAATGAAACATCATCACATCCCCTTGTGCCTTTTGGCCTTGATTTCAGTGCTTCCGTTTCCTGGAGTGCCCTCCTTCCGCTCCAGCAATCTCAGGCATAAGCCCCTTTGGCCCAGGCTTAGCTCCTGTTTTCTCCCTTTTTGCCTTAGCTCTGAGTTATGGGTTTTCCCTCAGAAGTCCTGAAAGTTTATTTTGTTTGTTTGATTCCTTTGTGATTTAATATGTACTATCTTGTATATGTATTTCATTGATTCTTAAAAATTGATTCTTCTGCCACCCATTTTAACATCTTCTGAACTAGGATGCACATACAGTTGATGATGTTGGTTCAACTGGCAATGCTTTTCTTTCTTAGAGTTAAAAAAAATAAAAGTGCATCTCACAATCGGTGGTGTCTTAGACTGAATTAAACGGGAACACCTTTCTTTTGTGTGTTTATTACCCATCTATCCAAGTAGACTAAATGGCTTTTGAGTCAAAGACATGTCTTATGTATTTTAGTTTTTTAATTAAAATATGTGCTTTAACGGGAAGGTTTGTACATTTCTTTCACTTTCTACATTGTCCAACATAATGCTCGACATGTTTGTAGATGCTCAGCAAACATCTGCAGCTGATCGTGGTAAGATCACTGAGTTCTTCTCCCGCTCCCAGCCCTCCCGGTCCTCCCAGCTCAGTTAAGGGTGGTGAAGGAGGGTATTTCCCATTTCGCCATGATACCAGCGGTGGCCACGTCACTCTTCCCTACAGCTGGCATGAGGCATACCAGTTTATACAATATTAATGCGCAAAAATCTCTTTGGATCTTTCGTATTATTTTTTTCCTAAGATCTAATAGCTTCATTTCTCCCTTGTACCCATTTTGGCTCCCTCATGCCCCTGCTGCTGGAAAGTTCATGACTGCTACGGAACAAAGGGTTGGTTCCATAGGATCTTAACCACAGCTTCGAAAGGCCTCATCAGCCTTTTCTGTTATGGAGAGGGGGAGGGGCAGGCCTCCTGCAGGAATTAGGACCCAGCTAAAAGGAGAGACTCCAGGCAATGGTCTATGCTCTAGACTTGAACAGCCTCCTTAGAATCAGGCCAGTTCACTGCTCCCCAACCTGCTGGATGTTGGCAACAAGAGGATTAAGGATTACTAACACACCCCCTTCACTGCATCCACTGACGACTTATCAATAATGGAGGAAACAGCTCAAGTATGCAGGAAACAGCTCATGTCCCAGAAATGCTGGGACTGTTGTCCTCAAGTATATGGGAGCTGCAAGCATCCTACTCCGTCCCAGTCACAGGTTGCAGGCTTGTGTCTATACTTACTTTTCTAGGAGTCCTCAATAATTGAAGCTACCGCAATATGGACAAGGGGAGGATGCCTGTGAGGGAGGAATGGCTTGACTTTTTAGTATCCACTGCTCTTCAAGGTTTAGAAAATTAAGCAAAGAGATACTTTCAACCATTCATTCACTCAACAAATA